GCCCCCACTCGCCGCCCCAGGAGAGGGCCCGCGGGCGGCAGGAAGCGCCGCCGAGGGGAGCCCGACCCCCGCACGGCATCGCGCCAGACGGGCCGAGTGGAGGCGCCCCCGAGCGAAACGGCCCTTCGGACTGCCCCAGGGCCGGGCTCCAGCGGCAGAGCGGCTGTAGCCCCATCCTGGGGGGAGGCCGTGCGACGCCCGGAGGGGGCGAGCGGTGTGCGAGGCACTGGTCTGAGGGCGAGGGCGAGTACTGCCAGCTCTGAAGAACAAATGAAACCACCTGGAGAGAAGCATAAGGAGAAAAGGGGGTGTGGGACTTGAGGAGACATGAGGACTGCGACAGAGGATGCAGAGATGGTGGTGGCAGAAGGTGAACAAGGCGAGTATTGAGATGTGAAAGAGGACAGGATGATGGAGGAGGGAAGGATGAAGACGAGAGCTTGTTGGAGAGAGAGCAGACAAAGATGGAAAGATTGCTAGACTGGCCAGTGGTTCCCTTTGACGGGCTGAGTGCGATTAGCAAAAAGAAGATGTTCCACAGTAGATAAAAGGAGTCCATGTCCTTCTGTCTCACCAGAAAGCGTGCAAACTGCCCAAAAATTCCATTGCAGCTCGTAGCTTCATTTCTCTGACAACTGCAGGTGAAGATGCTGTGAACTGGAGTGCAGTTGTGTCTGCTGGTGGGATGTGAGGAGAGTGTTTAACACAGCCAGTCAAACATGGCCTGCTTTGGAGACAGCTGCCAATTCTCAAACAGAGTTTGTTTTACAAATACATTAGATTGGATTGTCTGCTGGAAATGAATTTTCAGTTGTGCTGTGCAGCAACATCTGGAGTCAGCCGCCCGCTAACAAGGGATTCTACAAACAAGCAGAGGGAACGCGCAGGGAGCCGCCCTGCCCTGGAGCCGAGCTGCAGCACTGCAGCCTGAAACGGTGGGTCCCAGATGCTAACACTAGGGAGGCCTTCATCTCAGAGAGATGGAAATTCACTTCCTAGAGCTGCTAAGTAAATAAAACTGCAGAGAGTGAACAGGTTAACTTTGGGGGGGCGGAGGGGGAATGTGTGAAATAGGGGGAACTGATACAGCAGCATCATCTATCCGTGCTCCTGGCAAGTTAGGAGCCATTTCCCACAGTACCATTCAATGGTACAGCATATCCATACATAGGGGATCACACTGTATGCCTTTTATTAAGGTCCAATTAATGGAATTTTATGACAGCATCTTTTTTTGTTTTGGTGAACAAGGGAAACATCAGGTTACAGAGAAAACCTAGAAGATTTGATCTGCATAAACACTAAATATTCAAAAATATTTTTAACAGGGACATGTGTATAAATCATGATCTGACTTATTAGTTCAGAGCACTCGGGCCTGGGGTTGTTGCCTCTCAATTAGATGGACTGTAACTAAGCTCAAAGACCTTGTCTTTGTTGCATGTTGCTGAAGAACAATGAATACTTGGGCCACAAAACAAACAAAAGCTCAAATCTTTACTCAAACTTCTATGCGTGTTTTCTACATTGGGAGACAGATCAATATTTTTAAAATTTTTTAACAAAACCTCTGAAATTCTGAAGTGTGTTACTAAGTATTGGGGTCTACTAGCAGGCCTGTACTACCTTTCTAGTCTTCAGGTTTTATTACAGATCCTTTATAGAAAGGCTGTCAAATGCTGTTTGTTCCATTTCCACAAAAGCTTTTTAGGGCATCACGCTATACCTGGGGAGGGGACAGAACTGGACCAAGAGCAATACAGTGGGATCAGAATTCTAAAGAGCAGCTCAACTCTTTGGACACCAGCTCTATTTGAGACTAGATTTTCTTTTTAAGTCCCCAAATATCCCAAATTTCTGTGACTGATCCATGTACAAAGACAAAGCACTATTGCAATCAATCAGCAATCTTGAGATTATTTCCTTCTCATTGCTCACATTACTCATAAGCAAAATTTACACCTGGAAATTTACATCTACTCCCCCACAGTAGCCTGTTGGGGAAAATCACTCATTGTTCTACCAACCTGGTACTGATAAATCCTACTAATTCCCATGTTCAACTCTGTCCACTGCTGCTCCTCAGTTATCATCCTACTATTCTGACCTTTACCTACTCTGGAAGAAACAGCTCAAGTGCCCTCTAGTGTGGTTTCAGAATATGTAGTCCATGCGTTTTCCACTTTTGTGAGACTAAATGAGAGGGTTTGAATTTGGTTTGAAACATTTTTATAGGTCCATAGAATTTTATGACATAAGCCACTGTGAAAAATACTTTGACTGAAAAATTGATGGTGATTGTGATTTTTTTGTAAAATTGCCAAATGATAGTTACAGCGAGTTTCACCGGCATGTTACCTGTTTTATCCCCAAAATGCAAAATGGCAAAATTTACTAAACACGTCTGAATTTTGCGTGACCATTATATCTGCTTATGAAGTGATGCTGTTGTTGGGTTCTTTTCCTTGAAGTAAACGTGTTTAGAGCATCACCATTCTGGGGAAAAAAAAACAAACAAACAAACATCATGGCCCTTCTACTTACTTTTTCAGTTTCTTGTATTTCCAAACTTTTAATATGTATTTATCAAAGCAGATTTTATTTTTCTTTCTACTACATTTTTAGTAGCTTTTTTGGCCACAAGAAAAATTTTCTGAAATGCTCGAGTGATGCGTACTTTTCTTTTTGAATTACTTTCCTAGCTGATTCAATCCTAAGAAATTTGGCCCTTTTAAAGCTATTCACAGTCTGAATAATGAGCATGCTTAGATCATCTCAGAGCATATGTTTCTGGAGGCTTTCGTGGCTGTGGTGCACAGTCTTTGAAATAAGCTTCCTGTTTAGGCTAATGCACTTATTTAGCTTCAGTAGTGTGCACACCATGAAAGCTAATAGACTCAGGCACCAAATGGGTTTGTTTTTTCCAAACTGAAGGTAGTAATGGGAAAAGTACAGGCTCTGGACTAATATAATTGTTTCAGACATATTGCAGAGTAGTGAAATTCTCAGAACTGACTTGAAAGAAATGCCAGATATACATGTTCTGATCATACCAATGGTCCATCTACTTTTACCGGTAGCTGCCAGCAAATGCTTAAGTAAACAGCTTGAGAATGTAAGTGTAAGAATAGGGGGAGTACTTTCCTCATATTAGCCTTCTGGAATTCAGTAATGTTTGCTTTAAGAAGAAGAACAGGAAAAGAAAATTTGGAGTGAGAATAGTGGAAATAAAGGACAGCCTGAACTATCCAGCTGCGGAATGATTTCAAAGGAAGAGTCCTGTCATTTGGCTCATCTTTACACAAACAAATTTAAACACAAGAACGGGGTGTCCCAAATTCTCCTCTACAGTCCACAGATGGTAATGAAACTCCAATACCTTTTTCCCCATTTTTCCTAACCACTTCATCCTACTCTATTCTTAGTGGCCTTTTCTATGACTTCAAAGACCTGGGAAAATGTAAAAGCCTATTTAAAACACTGGCAACCTTCCAATCAGCCACAGCAGCTGTGGTGAGGATCAGCAGCTCTCCCCAACAGAAATTTTTTCATGTTGTACATGTACGATATCACAGTATGATTGCATCAATGTATTTCCTTCAAATTCTGTTTCATATCTTTTTATCCTTAGCCGTATATATCTTCTTTCGCCTGAACTCCTGCATACGCTCCATTTTCATGTTGTATATGTATCTGTGTGCCAACATATGGCCTTTGCAGTAATATTTTCCCCTCACATCATTGTGCATCTGCTTATGCATACATTTTTGCCTACCCTGTAGTCTCTTTGAGTTCAGAAATAAGTGAATCCCCAAACCATGGGAATATTAACCATCTTTAAATGTCAGCTAGTAACTAATTCTGAAGAAGACAATTTAGACCTGAATCTTCTTTGTAAAAAGTGTATTCTGATAACTGGGAGTCTCTTGAGAAACAGTCCAGCTATCATAGAATCATACAGTTGGTGGTGGTATACCAACATTACTGCTGAATAATTTTTAAACTTTCATTAAAACAGGCTGGATTTTTTCCCTTGCTTCTTTGGCTCTTCTTAAAATATCTGCTTCATCAAAATTCCCTTTTTTAAAAATTCTGAGCAAGTCAGGGCTGAGACTAAAGTTCCCCTTTTGTTTTCTAGCTTCGTGCCTGTGATTAGGAGTTCCCACAATGTGCCTCGTTCTTGTCATTTTTGTAACTGTTCAACTCTATTTTTTGTCTTTCAGTGGTAAGTCCTTGCATCAGTTTGTTTATACGACTGTTACGCATAATGGCTTTCTCTTCATTCTTCTGCCATGTCTGAAATTGGCATGAATTGTGACATTTTCAACCCAGAAGCAGAAATGCAGTGTTCAGGGAGGAATGTGAAGAAGAGCAAACTGGATTCTATCACGATTGGAATAAAGACCCATATGAAACAGGACCAACCTAGTAAAGTATGTCCGAGTACTGCCATGATTTTCCTTTACCATGCTGCAAATATTTTAACTTAACAGTCCACGGAGAGTGTTTCTTATGGGGGTTAGTAGGAATTGGGGAAGGGGAGGAGGGTTATAAAACTCAGTGAAGTTTTGCATACTTAAGTATACAATAGTGATTACAGACATGGGCAAATTTGATTTAGCATGAAAAAGGAAATTTTGATCTTAGTGGCAGCTTCTTGAGAAAAACATCAGCACCTGACTTCAGTCTTAAAATCAAAAGTACTTGGCTAATCTACACAGATACATGAACACTTGAACACCTTTATGAATTGCCAAATATATCTGAATTCGTATGAGCAGGTTTGCTCTGGAAGGACATTTTGTACATCTCTAACATGCTAGCAGTTGTCACAGATGAAACAACTTTTATAAATAGGACAAGAATAGCTTTGGATACATCATGTTTAGGAGTTCCTCCTCTTCTCAGTTCATCTGCTTCCTAGCAAATTTCTATGGAAGATGCACGCAAAACTCAGAACCATTTCATTTTATTTGAGAAGCAAGCATTTACATGACAGAATGAAGCTCATATTGGACCTCTCCCTTCTATTTCGTCCTTGCAAATCAGTAACTCAGGGTAAAATTCAGAAAACCTATTTAGGCTCCTCTGTCAGCGACTGAGGTTCTGTGCCTCAGCAACAGCTCATCCTGCAAGGATACTTATATTTAATTGGTGCTCAGACTCTGGACCACAAAGCTCCCACAACATTCATAGTGCATGTAAAGAAGTTGCCCAGTCAGAGGAGCGGCATCTTATCTCTGCCTGTACCCCAAGAAGACCTACCACGTAGGCATGCTCTGAAGACGCCTTATATATGTAAAAACTATTGAAGTCAACGT